ACACACCGACTAGTTGATATGAAAGAGAAGGGAGAAAGATTACAAGAGACTGGTGGGCAGGTTGGACTTAAAATCAACATCCAGAAAACAAAGGAGATGCAAATTGGTGTGAGGCAACAAGAATCGTTGGAACTCCATAGGGAAGGTGTTGAAAGAGTGTCTGAGTTCACGTATTTAGGAAACATCATTAGTGAAACTGGCGGAACTGATGAGGACATAACAGCCAGGATCAGGAAAGCGCAATCAACATTCTCAATGCTTATGCCTGTGTGGAAGGAAAAATGCATCAGATTGCAAATGAAGCTCAGGATTTTCAATACAAACGTGAAGTCTGCCCTTCTGTATGGTTCGGAAACATGGAGATCGACAAAACTACTGACCAAGAAATTGCAAACCTTTACCAACATGTGTTTAAGGAAGATCCTGAACATCCGCTGGCCAGAGGTCATTTCAAATGAAGAACTATGGGAAAGGACACAACAAATAGGTATAGAAGAAAGCATTACGAGAAGAAAATGGAAATGGATCAGGCATACGCTACGGAAGCCTGAGAATAATATCACCCATTGCGCTCTCGAGTGGAACCCTCAGGGGTCTAGAAGAAGAGGTCGCCCAAAGCAATCCTGGAGGGGAAGTGTGATAGCTGAGCTCACCAAGAATAAGTTCACGTGGATAGAGGCAAAGCGAACTGCCAGTAATAGAGTTAGGTGGAGATCCATGGTTGACGCCCTATGCTCCCCTTTAGGAGCGAAGATGGCCTAATGTAATGTAATAAATAAGTGACAGGTGTCCTGCATACTGCTAGGATCAACACTGTCTAAGTCATCGTGGGTACAAGACTAGGTCTTATTACAACTTAAAACTTAAAAAGTTTTAAGTTCACAGCTTAAAAGTTTCTAGAAAATCTGCAATTTTCTAATGTCATGTTCATTCGTCACCTTAGAACACTTAGTAGAACATAACAAAACGGTACCACATGAAAGTAGTGCTCAGTAGTTTTTATTTAACTTGTGGTAATGTTGCCTACCATTTCATCCTGATCTATATCGAGTAATTCAACTGTTTTTCTGAGACACTCGGCTTACCTTTTTGCCAATTTGACAACTCATTCCATAATTTTTCATTATCATAATATTATTTTTGCCTTTCAGGTCTTTTGACCCTCATAATGGAGTGAAGGTGACTGATTTGTAATACTGCATGCCAAGTATTACATCTATTCAATCGTCATTTATTAGAAAACTATTAATAAAGCAAATAGTCACATCTACATGATCTTTAAGCGATGATTTCTTTGAAAATCTCCAAGCCAGTGAATCTTTTGGTTCCTGAAGATCCCTGAATTTCATTGAAGGTTTCTAGTTTTTAAACTTACCACTTCTACCAATGGGTACTAATTTAGAGTATCACCAATTGTTACTTGTAAATCTGTGAGATTGCAAAATCTCAGAAAAGACAGTGTACAAGACTTCACATCTCTGTGTTAAGCTTCTTTTGTCAGTGCCTGCATCCAAAATTTCGTGTCCTTTCAAAGAGTGAAGAATTTGATTACTGTAAGTCTAATTTATGCGCACAGAAACAGAATAGTCGGAAGATAATATATTCTTCCTCTGAAATTGGAATTGATTATAACCACAAAATACCCTGTAGCCGTAAAATTAATAGCTAGATCAGGCTGCCATTCTTGTACTCAAAGAAATTGCTCTTCTGTTTTTAGATTCTTGAGGTTCTCAACAAGCACGACTGTACTTATGGAATGAGTAAGTTCAACCTGGATATAATGACTTCAATTTATGATAATATGTTCTCGATTAAACAGCAGGGCCTGAAAGAATGTCAGGTTTACAAGGTCAACTACCAAATGCTCATTATTGCTTTCTTTCTTGTTTCGCGTTGTGTTTAGTTGTGCTTTAAACTGAGTAAGCTTTACTTGTAATGATAAGGAATGTGGCTTTCAAAAATGATGAAAATGAGTATAGACTAAAGTGACAATAGTTACACCAAAAGGCACAGTAATAATAATTTTTTTTTTTTTTTTGACTTTCTTATAGGGTATTTACCGGTACATGTTTTTGAGGGTTGAAATACTTTTAGCATAACTTATTAGAACAATGTTGTTCCAAGAAACTATTAATAACTCAACATACTTTCACAGTCTCCATGCTGATCAAAATGAGGCTACTGAGACTTAATAAGTTTCTTCCAATTCTACAAGCACTGGCATTAAAGATCTGAATTCTGTCAAACAACTACTGTATTGTTGAGAGGTTCAGCTGTTATTAATGGAGGACTTTATAAATGACTCTTAAGCACTGTGCTTATTCAAGGTGGCACTTGATCTGGCTGTGAATGTACTTTTAAGTTATTGCAATATGAGATACTATCCATTTTTGGATATTTTTTCTTAATATTTTTCATTGAAGACAGCTTACTTTTTAGCAATAATTTATTACCATGGCCATAACAAAGTTGTAGTTATTTCCATTTTATGGCATACATTAACATACGTGTACTCTGCCTTCTTGTTTAGGGAGCAAAATTGCAAATATATTTCAAGACAGCCCCGATGATTGTTCCAAGGACAATGCAACGTTTGTGTCCCTTCTCCTGAAAGCAGTAAGATCAATTTAATAATATTTTGTTTATTTTAAACAATTAAGTGTATTTTACATCTCCACATAAAAACACGGAACATACTCAAGCATTGTGTCCACATGTTTGAACAGTATGATGTAACTTGTCCTAATTAATATAATTTTATTTTGTGCATCTACATTGTAACAAAGTTTTAAGAAAATCTGAAATTTTCCACTGTGACCTCCATGTGATCAGTATTCACTGGAAAACCTGAATCATGAGGTCTATCACAGTAGTGGTCATGATATTTGAATTATCGGCATACACTATACGGATTTTTCCAGAGAGTTATTAGTGACAACTACCTTGCACAATTTCATAAATGGTATCTCGTGAAAGTACTGCTCAAAAGATTTCATTGATTTCATTGATTTCATTAGAGCAACCTTGTACAGCATAATAAACATTACCACATGAAAGTACTGCTCAATAGCTTTCATTTGAATGGTCAAACACTAGGGTTTCATCCACAGACTTAAAAGTTAGAACCACCTTGTACAGCATAGTAAACAGTACCACATGAAAGTACTGCTCAATAGCTTTCATTTGATTGGTCACACACTAGGGTTTCATCCACAGACTTAAAAGTTAGAACCACCTTGTACAGCATAGTAAACAGTACATGTACCACATGATAGAAAGTTCTGAGCACACAATTGCTTTGATTTGATGTTTTCAAGCCCTAGAAAGCACTGTTCAATTACTAGGGGTTTCATCCACAGACTTAAAAGTCAAACCACCTTGCACAGCTTACACGTAATTGCATGAAAAGTACTAATGGCAGCTTTAAAATAATTGTCACACTAGGTTTGATGTGCATAATTAGAGATCAGTCACCCTAACCTTCTTTTAAATGCATATTAGTTAGTATTACTCTAAACTACTGTTTTATGAGTTTCATTTGAATGTTCACATGTTTATTTTCAGTATTGTATTGTCTACACAGGGTCTGGGACACTTGCTGGACTCCCGGGCATACACATTTATGTTGAGCCGGTTTTTCAAGCTTAGAATGAACAATGAATTTTATGAGGTATTCTTAAAGTCTTTATTTTATTCCTTGGATCCGAGTACATTTATGAGAATGTAAGCTTACAAAGGTAGAAACTTGTTATCTTGAATTGAGTCCCATGGAAATAAGTTGCAATAAGAAACATCGATTAACAAGTACTTCAAAGTTGACATAACTGAATAACTAACTGTACAATCTGACTTCCAGGATGATGTTTAAAGCTAATGTTTTTTAATTAACTGACCTTCCTGTACATGATAATAAATTATTTTTTATAACAGTTGTAAAGTGGCATTTAAAGGGAATCTTGGCTAAAACACAGTTAAGTTCCAAATCGCAAGTTTTGTGTTGGTGTTAACTTGTTTCAGAGATATGGACAGTTCACTTAATTCTGCTATTTTCTGATTTTCTAATTTCCTGGTTGCTGCCATGTTTGTTTTTACAAAACTTGTTTAGAAATTGTGGATGCTGTTTAAATTACAGCATTGCGTGGATCAAGGATATAGAAGTGCTTCTAATTAACAATTAGATTATTCGCTCTCGATTTCTATGAGGTGATAGTTGATTCAGCCTTCACACCTCATAGAAATCAAGAGCGAAAANTTTGGCTTTTTGAGTTATTGGGTATGCCCTTCAATCTGGCCAAGTTTCACTGAAATCGGTAAGATGGCATCTATCACCTCTGCCTGGTCCTCTGGTGGACATGCTCTTAACTCTTCACCAATCCCCTCACTGCTTCGCCACTCGCGTTCACGCACAGCTTCGCTGTCAAAACAAAAGCACTCGTCCACGAAATCCCGCCAGCAACGCAGACCACAATGCAATAAACTTGCATCCCATCCAGCAGGAATTGCATAATGCCTAGTCGCTTCATGCTAAGGAAACCTTCGATAAGTGCCGGCATGTTCGGCCCCTATGCTCGAACACCGACTTTGCCTTGAAGTTTGTGAGATAAAAAGTCATTTTGATTGCTCTGCGCTACCCAAATAGAGTCCTAAAGTGTGACGTCACAAAAAAATAAATTTGAGAAATTATGGGATTTGGCGCCATTTTCGAATAGAACGTCCTTAAAAAAGGATCCTTGCCTAAAATTACCCCTTAATTGTAATTCCCAGCCGAAATATAACGGATGAAAATTTGGTATGCCCCATATAAATCTCTCTAATTTTGAGTCAGTTCTAAACTGAAGGAACTGAAACAAATTTTGAAGGGTTTTTATGGGACGCTATCAACCTTTGATCCCTTATACCTCTATCTGGAGTTGCAATTCAGAGCTAATTTTTGGGATGAGGGCATATTTTAGGATCCTTTATAAGAATATGACATCATATCCCATAATTTCAAAAAATTTATTTTTGTGACGTCATCACTTTAGGTAGGCACGAAGCCTAGCTAATCCCCAAATTAAAAACCGTCCTGAAAGTAGTAAGGCCTTTACTAATAGACGTTTGTTTTGTGTTTGCGTCCAATTTCAGAGACGTTGGAGGTCTATGAGCAGCTGAAACAAATCCAGGCAGCAACTACGCTGCCTACCTACATTTATAATAATTTACTTACGCTCTATGGTTTTCATGGTAAGTTGTTATAAAGATAAGGTTGAAAAGCGTTAGTGTCATACAGGGCTTCCTAATAGTCGTCAGTCATTTGTCAAGGACTGGTCTACTAAATCCTTAATTCGCTAATTAAAAATAAAAATCCATTGTTTGTTTTTGTTGTACTGCTCGAACCCATTTCAGTGGCGGATCGAGACCTTGAGTTAAAGAGGGGGGGGGAAAAACGTCGCCATTTCCTAGACGACCTCCAGTCACTGTGCACTAATGGCTGATAGTGTTCAATGGCTCAGTCAATCAGATTACAGCATTTGCATTAGTAGAATTCTACCAGTAGTTATTAGTATAAATCTACTAGCGTTCTCTCACAAATGCCGTTCTCTGACTGGCTACGTTACACACTATCTGTTATGTGATAGGTAGAGAGCAGCATAGCAATGTGCCCTTGTTAACAAAATGACGGCTGCTTCTTGTCGTTTTCGAAGGGTCTGTCAAGAGGATTTCGATAAAGTTTTGAACAACTAGTAGATTTATACTAAAACAATTAGCTTATGACCTCAAGATTTCTATGCGTGATAGTTGACTCAGGCTGCGCCCTCATCAACTATCAGGCGGGTTCCTACTCCATCACGTGTTACCCCAACATTAAATTCACTGCTAACCATCAGAATACAATGGAATGACCCAGACCAGTACCTAACAGCCATCCTGACCAATGTCTAACCGCACTAAACATAAGGCTGTTGTATAGGACAACTTCATGTACTTAAAATCAATTATTGGTTAATAATGACCGCTTGAATCTGTATTCTCTTTTTATAGTTTGTACAAATGATGAAAGAACATGAAGTCAATCTGGACGAACATCATTATAGAGTAATGCTGAGGGTAAGCATATGATAACCAACAGTAATGAGCAGACGATTTTTCTCAAGTACATGTAAAGAGAAGTCCACATACCAACATTCAGCTACTTTTGAGCAGTTTCAAAACTGATTGAAAAATCTAAGGGACGTTCTTGCCTGCAGCCTTTCAATTAGATAATGAGTACAAGTTTTCCATGAGGTGATAGTTGATGAAGCCAAAGGCTAAATCAACTATCACCTCACAGAAATTGAGAGCACATTCAAAATGTTCTTTGAATGTAAAGGCATATCATTCAAAACATCATCGTGCAAAGTGTTGCTCCCCTGCTTTCACTGAATTAACAAACAAACAGCTGACAGTTTCCCCAACACTTTTTTTCCATGGACCATCCCACACTAAGATGTCATCTAGCCAAATTCTCTGATGCTACTTTTACCACACCCACGGTTTTGCTCAATCCATCGCAAGTGACGATAGTAAAGTACTTTTAATGGTTATGTTTTGTGGAGTTAGAGATTGGTCAAAGTCAAAATTGACAGTCGGTAAAACATGAACAGAAATACTTACTCAAACCTAACAAGTAGCTTGAACATGCTATGAATCATGGACATTAGCAAGAGCTGTGAATGGGGCGCTTTTGATATGTTTTTGATCCAGCTAATTTGCGACAAAGAGTAAGGGACAACAACTATTTTCAATAACCAGGATCAACAGCATTGATCTACAAACAGAATCAATAAGCACTTGCTTGACTGGCCCCAAGCTCGGGAAACAGTGAGTTTTGTTTCCCCGAGACCCTCCATGTTCCCCGAGGCGAAGCCGAGGGAAACATTGAGGTCGAGGGGAAACAAAACTCACTGTTTCCCACTGAGCCAGTCATTAAGTGTTTTGTTATACCTCCCAAATCAAAAATAGAGAACGAAACTGCAAAAACTTGTTTGCTTGACACCGACTCGTACACAAATTTGCCGCAGTTTCAAGGAGTCAAAAGTTCAAGTTGTTTGTTCCCTAGGGAGCTAGTGAGTTTCGTTCGTCCTGGGGAGCTAGAGAGTTTTGACCAACGGCACTTGACACGTTCTCCTCCAGTCGGAAACGCATTTGAGTTGGGAACTATAACAATAGACTTTATCAATAAGTCGAGAGGGCAGTAATCTTTGTAGCCTGTATAGCCCAAATCATGACCTAGTTTTCCATACACAACCTTGTTATAATTCTGAAATCTGACTGCATAGGAATCAATGAAGAGGGATTGACACAATTTTAATCTACAGGTCTGAAGAGATTTTAACTATGTTGTTTGTTAATGTTTCATAGATGATGGCCCTTGATGGAAAAGCTGAAGCTGCACAATTTTGTTTTGACAAGTATAAGGTACATTGTGCTATACATGGAATTATCAGTTTTTGCAATATGTTTCCTCGAGGAATAGTGCACTTTTGCAGACAATCATTTTTGTGCATGAAATATTGTATGATGTACAGGAAGCAAACGGATTAGGAAAGACTGAGATCATTTAAAAGTGGTGAAAACACTACTGATGCCTTAGAAATTTCTTCTTTTTTTTCTTCCCCGCTACCCATGAAGAAATTTCACTGTTTCCTAAACGTTTTTCCAAAGTTCATTAATAGTAGAGATATCCTGGTTGCCTCAAATTAATCCAAAAAGATCTCTTGTTCTTATGAAATAAAATGATGGTGTTCCTTGCTCCCAGAACCCCTGGGAGGCACTGTTAGATTTCTTCCATAATACCGGTAATTCTTTATTGAGTTCATTCATATAATTATTACTGTCTAGTAGATAATTTAACGTCTTGAAAAAGTACATAAATCTGATTCTATCTACATTGAAATTAAAGTTCGAGCTGGAGAACGTAATTAACCAGTTGGTTTTCTTGTTAGCTCCCCGTACAATTTAAGTTCTATATTGGCAGCAGATGAATAAAATAAAACAAGGAAGGAGAAATTGATTATAACATGTAACTTGTAAATTTGTTTAACCATTTGTTTAAGACAAAATTTCTTCGTTTGTTGTTTTGATTAAGTAGATAAGGTTTCATTTGCGTGGAAAATACAAGCGCGATGTTGCTGTGTGTCTGTTCAGTAATAGATCACAGAAAACGTCAAAATGTAGTGAGAAGAAAAAAAGTCGCACACGAGGCGTTAAGGGGAGTGTGTCAGTGATGTACCACATTTTGACGTCCTCTGTGATCTATTACTGAACAGATGCACAAAAAAACATGGAATCTACTTGTTTTATATAATAAAGAAACAAACAAGAAGGTTAACGACATCATCTATGCATGTGTCCTTCAATAGCTCATAAGTACGAACTAATCAAAATGGGTGAATAATTTGACTTATTGTGTTGTCACTGTGTAACAAAACGATATGTCAAAACAATTAAGCCTTTGGAAAACGTTTACGAAACAGTGGAATTTCTTAATGGGTAGCAGGGAAGAAAAAATGTGAAGAAATTTCGAAGGCATCAGTGGTGTTTTCACCACTTTTAAGTGATCTCTTGCACATTTTCAACCTTTCCTCATCTGTTTTTTTTTTTT